CCTTTGTATAAATTGACTGAGGCAGATCACATCAAGTGACAAGTCAAGGTGAGTATTTGTGAGGTAATTAAGTTTGCCCACCAAATGCATGTAAAGACTGGTATCTGAAAGAAGAGGCTCATCATCAGCACAGAGCTTGGAATAGGGATCAAGTGGTGAAGACACCGTCGAGCCAGAGAAGTCAAATTCCTTCAAAAGATTCAAGGTAAATTGCCTCTGACTAAGAACGAACCCCTCTTTTTCTCTAAGAATTTCCATGCCTAGGAAAGAATGAATATTTCCTAAATTTTTAACCTTGAATTATGTATTGAGAAAAACTGTAATTTGATTGTTTCCTTCAATGTCACTGCCTGTAAGCAAAATATCATCGACATAGACTGATATGATAGAAATTAAGTCCCCAGATTGTTTGTAGAACAGTGAATAGTCATTGATGTAACTTGAATAACCCTTGTAGCTCAGTGCCCCGACAAGCCTGGCATACCACTACCTAAAGGCTTGCTTTAAACCATACAGTGACTTTCTCAAAAGACACACTTTAGTAGAATCAGGAGGTGATAATCTAGCAGGAAATTTCATGTATACTTCTTCTTGCAAGTCTGAAAGGCATTGTTCACATCAAGTTGTGAGACATGCCAGCCTTTCTTGACAGCTAATGTTAAAAGACATCTAATTTTGGTCATTTTTACCACTAGAGAAAAAGTCTCTGAATAGTCAATTCCTTCTCTTTGTATGCCCCCCCCCCCCTACCACTANACTTATGTTTAACTTTGTAAACCCATTTGCATGGTAAGGCCTTCTTGCCTGGTGGTAAGGTCACCACATCCCAAGTATGATTCAGCTCTAGAGCTACAATTTCTACCTCCATTGCCTTTCTCCAACCTGCCTCCTTACAAGCTTCATAGTAGCTTGTTGGTTCTGAAATGGTGGACACACTCTTCAGAACATTCTGATTATTCAGTGTGAGTAATCCAAAAGAGAAAGAGGTAGGTTTAGCTGACTTAGTGAAACATGAGGAGTTGAGGTCAGTGAGGAATATGTTGTTGCACACATAATCATTTAGGTATGTTAGGTTTTGAGTAATCCTTTCAGTTTTTTTGATTGGAGGTGGTGGAACGGGAAAAGTGTGAAAAGGAGATGAAATAGGAGGATTGGGAGTGCTAGGTTGATTGGTTGATGATGTACTGGGTGAAAAATGTGGTGAATTGTCTAGGCCAAAACTTGGCAAGGGGAAAGAGGGTTCAAGATGGTTAGTGGTTTGATCTGCTATCCCAGGTGTCCTGCTAGGTGTAGAAAGGAAAAAAGAGTTAGCTGAATCTGCTTCAGGTGTAGAGATAATGTTGATAGGTCATTGAACAGATGGTGGAATATCAGAAGATGTTGTAGAAGGGAAAAACAAAGGTTGAGGTGTTGTGGTGGACAAAGTGAAAAGGAAATGATCTTCATGGAACTTTGACCTTGTGAATATCCCAAGAACACACATCTCGCAGCTTTTGGCTCAAACTTACTCCTGTTATGAGCCAAAGTAGATTCATAACATAGACATCTAAAAGATCTAAGTGAATCATAGTTAGGTGGTATCCCTGATAGAACCTTATAGGGTATCTTCCCTTTCAAAACTCTAGAAGGTATTCTATTGATGAGATGAGTGATTGTTAGCACACATTCTCCCCAGTATTGAATATGGATCTTAAACTGAAAAAACAGACCCCTTGCAACTTCCAAAGGATGCCTATGTTTTCTCTCAACCACCTCATTATATTGGGGTGTTACCACACGAGATGTTTCATGCAATATACCTTGTGATTCAAGGAAAGCATCTTCCTGTGATCCTTTGCCTAATTCCCTTGCATTATCAGACCTTACCCTTTTTACCTTCATGTTAAATTGCCTCTCTACCATGCTGAGGAAAGATTTTAGAACTGGAAAAGCATTACTTTTACAACTTAACAGAAAAGTCCATGTAGCTCTACTGTAGTCATCTGCAATAGTTAGGAAATACTTAAAACCATTGTATGTATCAGTCCTGAATGGTCCCCAAGTATCAATGTGAATTAAGTAAAAATTCCTTGGGTTTTAATATGACTTAAAGGAAAAGGAAGTCTAGTTTGTTTAGCTTGAGGACAAATGTTACACACATAATCAAAATTTGAAGGAAAATTAATAAAACTAAGATTCTTCATTACTGAACAGGGCAGATGACCCAATCTGACATGTCATTGGCTTACATTAGAAACAACATTAACCACTAATGGTGTTTGAAAAGAAATAGAACTAGAATAGTGATTGGAATTTCTTTCAAACTACATCTTGACATGGTAGAATGCCAGAAGCTACACTAGTGGGCCTGAGTAGATATAAATCATCTTTTATTTTACCAAAACTTGTCCCCTCCTCATTTAAGGGACCTGCATTAGACAATCATATGAAGTTAGATTTAAAGAGTATTTGAATTGACAACATAACTTATGAACAAACAATAAGTTATAGCTGAAAGAAGGCACATGAAGAACTCTTTTAAGGATCATATCTGACTGAATGGAAATACTACCTATATGTGTAACATATAATTGGAAAGAGTTAGGTAGACTAATATGTAAAGTAGAGGAGTCAAATCTATGAATGAACTTGAATTAAACACGTGTGCTCAGAGGCTCCTGAGTCAATGATCCAAGTTTTAGTATTAAAAACTGAAAACAAGTTCCAGTATACTTAAGGATTGTACCAACCACTACATTGGCATTGATTTCTGAATTTGCATGTCCTGAGTTCCCAATCTGCACCTGCTTGATTAAGTTAACTAGCTCAGAAACTTGCTCTTTGTTGAACATTTGTGACTGATTGTTCATGTTTCCCTCATTGTTAGCAGCTGCTACACCCTCATCTTGTCCTGCTTCCACTGCATTTTGTTTCACTGCTTCCTAATAATTGTTTGGTTATTTGATGAATTGAAAATCTATTGGGAACCCTAGTAATCTGTAGCAGTCTATTCTCGCATGTCCTACCCTCATGCAGTGAGAGCAGGTGATATTACGGTTATATTTAAACTTCTTCCCTTTGAACTTTTGTGGATTGTTCCCAAACTTCTGAGTGGCAGACCAGGGTTTCTGATTCTGATTGTTGTTCCTCTGTTGAAACTTTGTCTGAGTTCCTACCATAAATGATGCTCCATCAGAATGGTATTGGCGGCTCATGTATACATCTCTTTGACTCTCATCTTGATGTAACAAAGAGTAGGATGGTCTAAGTTGGGTAGAGGATCATCATAAGTATATTGCCTCTTGCTTGGCCATACACATCATTAAGTCCCATAAGAAATTGATAACTCTCTCATCTTCCAAAAACTTAGTGACCTTCTTCTTTCCATCATACACAGTGTAGTCACAGATGCATCCTAAGTGTGTGCTCAAAGAATTCAACTCATCCCATAATCTCTTCAGAGTCGTGAAATAGCCTGCTACACTGCTATTTTCTTGAACTAACTTAGATATCTCCTTTTGCAGGTGATATAGTTTGGCCTCATTAGATTAGCCAAATTTGTGCTCAAGACTATTCCAAAGTTCCATTGCAGACTTGGAGTAGATGCCACTGTCTCCTATTTCTTTAGACAATGAGTTCAGTAACCATGAGGTAACCATGTCATTGCACCTGCTCCATTGAGGAAGATCATTGGAATCTAGACTTGGTTTCCCACAGCTCCCATTAATGAAACCAAGCTTATTCTTGGCAGATAGTGCAATTAGGATTGACCTCCTCTAACTTGGAAACCTCTCTCATTGAATGGTGTATTGACGAGAGACATACCGGGTGCATCAGAGGAGTGAAGAAAGTAAGGATGATTACAATCCTGATTGACCGTAGTGATGAAGAAGCAGGGCTGGAAACCACTGGAGTAGAGATGACTAGAGTCTCATCTGTTACTGCCATAGTTAGCTTTTAGATTTAAGAGATTTTGAAATGAAAAAATGTGAAGGATCGAGCTATAAGAGCTCTGATACTATGTAAGATTTAACAAGGAAGATGAACAAATTTTCTGTGTGTATTGTATTCCATTTGAAGCTATGTATACATACAAGTGTAAGTGCTGAAATAAATAATGTAAAATGAAAAACTAAAAGAATATTCCTTGTACACTTGTTATAGTCTTATTTCCTATCCTATAACCAAATAACTATTTTTATTCTTCTACTATGTATTCACATGTGTGGGCACGTGTATAGAACTTTTCAGGCGTCTCATTCTTTAAGCATAGTGTACCATATCGACAGTCAAGACTAAATCCAGCTGAGGGCCAAGATGCTTCCACGTGTCTCATTATTTTAAGAGACCAAACTATACACTCATTTAAATAAATCAGAAAACTATACTTGTCTGAAACTCAGCTCTTTCCCTTTCTTCTCGTTCTCTTTCTTTCTTTCAATTAGACTCAACGCTTTCTTCCTACTTGTTTACACGGCCTACATAAATCTCATGGGACCCGCCTATTATTACTATGAAAAAAGCCCTAAGTATCAAATACGAAAAAAGTTATACTTGTTTGGCAACAAAAAGAATCAGATGAATGTGATGAGCAGGGAAAGGTATGAGAAGTGAGATTCTTTGGTCGGACTGAAACATTACTTAAGGGAAAAAGAAAATGCGTGCTATTTACAGGATTTTCCAAGTACCTAAAGAAAATGTCATGTGCTATAACTTTCCTTCAATATCTCAAGGGGTTCAAGTTGCCAAAGTTATATACTTATTAACTAGTTTATGTGTCCTCGGTCATCGGACAAAGACGGAGCTAAATTTTGACGTTTACGAGTTATAAATTTGACATCGAACAATATATTTATATTGAAAATTTTAAATAAGAACAACTATTAAATTTAGAATTCAGTTTTTAAAATCTATAACACATAACGTTAAAATCCTCGCTCCGTATTTGTCCAGACACACGCTGCAGAAATCCAAGAAAGAAGAAGGTTGAAAACTAGAATAGTCATACATCAACACCAACATTTGTTACAACTAGCTTAGATCCAACTCAAAACAAGATATTATATTGTCAATAGATTTCATTTTCCTCTGTATTTTTCGTACAATAAAACAAAGGTTACTACAAACAGCACAACATCATACTCTTTACATATATAATGTAAAGAAAACCCCAAAAAATCAAATAAAACATTAGACCTTACTTATTTTTACAAGCTGAGTTAAGTAAAAATCTCTTACACCCCTAATTATTTAACTCAATAATCAATACTAAAAAAGCATTTCAGTGCACTAAGTTCCCGCTATGAGAGCCAGGGAAATGTCAGTCTTGGCCTGAGGTTGTTTCCACGGCTCGAACCCGTAACCTCCTGATCAATAATCAATAGCATCTTCTTTATTTCTTCTCACAAGTGCAAAATATCCAAGAACAGCACAAATTGCAGCAACTAAATTCCCTTCTCTAATCAAAACCTTAACTATAAACCCAATTATCTCAGCAGTCATTTTCTTCCCTTCTAATACCAAATCCTTTCTCCTTTTTCCAGCAAATGTTAATAAAACCAATATACTAATCCATGTCACAAGTGTAGCTGGAACAACAACTACTAAAGCTGCTACCATTGATAAAACTCCAAAAGCAACTCCTAATACCATAGATGCATATAAAGCTGATGAAGTTGAGCTAAGGGGTAGAGTTGATTCATACCAAGAAAGTACTGATTTGAGAAAATTCCAAGAAAGTGATAATAAGATTGTGTAAACAGTAATGAAGAGAAAAACCCATGTTCTTCTTTTGCTCATAAGTTTTATGAGAAACATAGAGGAAGTTGCTGATGGTGGGATTGGTGATGTTGGGAATAGAGGAGGTTCTAATTCTTGTTTAGTTTCAGCCATTGATTTTGTTGCTTTGGATTTGCTCTTCCTATTTCTCTCCTCTTTCTGCCCTCTTTTGCTTTTTCTTGATTTTTGTTGCTTGATTTGGTTTGTGGATATTTTTGGTGAATAGGGCTTTAAGGACATTAGTGTGAAACTTTTTTACTTTATTGATGTGTACTCTAACATGTTAGGCATATTGTTAAGTTATCATTTTTATTAAGTCGTTAATTTAAGTTTAACATAATAACTATAGTATTTATTACTTTCTCCGCCTTAATTTATATAATAGTATTGACCAAGTCAAAGTTTAAAAAAAAAATAGACTTCTAAAATTTATGGTTTAAAATAAGCCAAAAAAAAAATTGTGACAATATATTATTTTATTAAGGGTAAAATAAAAACTTTTAGGTACTAATAGAAATGTATTTTTTTTTTTTTTGCGAGTGAAAGAAAAAATATAACATAAATTAGGAAAGAAAAAGTATTACCTTATGATATTAATTTTCTAACTACAAAAACATTTTGAACGATCATATCACTTAAAAGAAAATTAAAGCAAACTTCTTAAAATAAGTAGATTTGTCATGTGATAAATAAAGAATAACATGCTATAAAGGTTCATTGTATTAGTTAAATCATTTTTTTAAGTCATACGTGACTTGCTTTAAAAATGTTTTTTTTTAAATTGAGATTAGAATTGAAACAAGGTATGACGTGCGTGTTAGTGAGTGGGCTGCGGACCCTGTGGCATGCGGCATGCCACTATTACGAGTTCAGTCTAACCAGGTGAGTCTCTTTTGGTTTCCAATCATGTTCGATATTGTACTGGTCCGATTAAATTTGGATTCAGCACCAGAAAATCCTATATTAGAGGAAAAGTACTTCTAAATTTCAACTTAAAACTTCTGGTCAAGAAATAAAAAAAAGAATTTTTTTCTCCTGTAACAAAGATTAATACGTTATTTATTTTAAATAAATATCATTTAAAAAAATTATATTCTATAGATACCTTTTAATGTTTATAGCAAAATATCTAATTTTGGTTACCTCCTAAATACGCTATTCAGTTACAATATTTTTTTTCTCTCTCTACTTTAATACATGACATTCTCTTCCCTCATTCCTCTCACCCACATCACCTACGTTCTCTCCGATCCCAGCCCAGCACAGAACAAACAATTCTTTCCCTACACAAAACAGCACAGCATAAAAAACCTACACAAAAAAAACAAACCTACACAGCTCTACTCAATCACGTGGAACAAAATCATGCAAAAAGCTAGAGACGATAATTATTTGTGCCCTAGCTTTAGTAGCTTCGGATACTTGGCTGAAATTGCCGTTAAAATCTCCGATGAATTTCAAAAGGCAACGTAGGAAAACGCTAGCGATTGCTTCGACGGAGATAATAACGAGGAATTAGATTTTGAATTCTCAACTATGGAACTCATCTACGACGGTCAAACTGAATTTCAGTCAATTTTCCCTGTTTTCAACCGCGATCTATTATTAAACGTTAATTCCATGGATTCATATGGAGTTAGGGTTTGTTCTTGAGCAAAGACGACGGAGTTAGGGGCTGAGCAACTTGATTTATATTTCAATGTATTTTCAACGTATCACGCTGTATTTTCATGTATTTCATTGTATTCATTTTCTTTTCTTTTTTCATTGTAATCCATTGTATCTCGCTGTATTTCTGTGTATTTCAATGTATTCACTATCTTTTTTCATTGTATTTTAATATATCCCGTTATATTCTATGTATTTTATTGTATTCACTGTCTCTCTATATGCCATGAATATATTCATATGTTTTTTTAAATTAATATAATTTATGTATTCAGATGTATTATACTATAATTTTTCTGAAGATTGTTATGTTTTTGGAGTATTTTTCAGTTGAGAATCTTTTTTATAAGTGGAAATACAAATATGTGTTATAATTGAGTTTGTTGAGTTATATTAGGTGTCTATTATGTTAATTGATTCACTTTCCGTTTTAAACAGTGTACTCCCCTGTTTCACGCCGTGAATACAGTCGAATACAATAATCTGTCCAGCTGTAATCTCATGTTTCACGCCATGAATACAATCGAATACACTCGAATACAACAACTTATTAGCCGGACTTCCTTGATTTACGCCTATTTTTGCTACTATATTCATGAATACAGTAGCTTAAATACATCTTATAACAACAGAAAACGTATCTACATTTAGTAATATAGCTAATTACCACTAAAAGATAGTGTTTTATGAAAATTTCCCAAAAAAAAAAAAAATGTCGCTCCACTACAGTTATTATTGGTGCCTACCATCTGAGTCGGTATCAATAAATTCAACTGTTGTTTACTAAAACTTGACTAAGAAAAGAAAAATTAGTAGACACGTCTTCTTCAGCACAAACTCTTTTATTCCATGTAAGTTTTTTTTTTCAAAGATTCTCCAAATGGACAAGAAATTCGTTGTTTTATTTGTTTGGCTCAATTGGTTCAAATATATTTTTAATATTGTTCATTTAGGCTAAATTCGCACAATTTTCTTCAAAAGTCTCACAGCATTCTTATACTTTATATATAATTTTTCAATTTTTTAACTATCAATATATGCCTGACACGTTTTATAAACAAGAATATGCATAATTAACTATTGGTTAATATTTTTTGTTTGTTTATGGATGGTATGATAGTGCAGGGAAGGTGCAGAACACTCAATTTGGAGAGGGACAAAAAGTAAGAGAGCAACATGTCTATTATGGAAACGTTTACTTCTAAGACAGTCTGTGTCGTTCTTTACTGTGGTTGCCTAACTTTACACCCTACAAGATTCTTGCTGCTTCAATTCACAAGCCAATATTAAATATGGCCTAAAGAAAAAGAGGGGCAAAAGAAGAGTATGCATTAAGTTGAGACTTTTAGAGGCCGTTTGGTTTAAGAGACTAGGTATATTATTTCAATATAAATTTTGGAATTAAATTTATCCCGTATTTGATTGAAGGTATTATCTAAAATCGATACCATGTTTATACTAAAATCTTGATATAACTTATTCCCTTTAATCTCTCTTGATCTTCAGATTTGCTTCTTAGTATATGTGTTTCCTCTAGCTTGCGAAGTCTAAAGGGAAAAAGAAAATTAGGACAGACTTATTCCATCCCCTTCTTCATAACAAAGAAATGTATCAAACTGCCCCTGTGAAGGAGGAGTTGAGTGAACTTTCCTAATAGTTGCAAGTTGCAACACAAAGATCCAGATGGGACCTAAATCAAACATACCTAATCATAATTCCTTTCAGAATTAACAAACACAAGATTGCCAAAAGAGGTTCTATTTCAGATGAAAAAGGAAGTAGAAAAGAGATGGTATCCTTTATACCAAATGAATTCTTTGGAAATCCCTGTTTGACACTGTTATGAATCAGCCCCAATCCAATATTGGGTTGAGAAGAGCTATTAGGCCGAGAAGAAGCCAAAGGGCCAGAAGGCCTTCAAAAAAGGTTAATTTGGGATCCAGACCCATAAAGTACAATTAAGAGCTGTTAAAAAGGACTAGCTGCTAGCAAGAAAAAATTATGCGAATTGTTATATGGAAAACTCTCCTCTCATAGTCTCTCTCTTCCTCGTCTATTTCTCTCCTTGGCTCTGTCTCCTCACCTCCTTTCTTTCTATTGTTATTTCCTTAGTTGATGACTATATCCTTTGCATTTCAATTGTAATCAGTTTATTTGGAAGTTTAATCAAGGTATCGTTTTTGTTGAGTTCATAACATTGGTGCTTTCATTGATTTGGACTCCAATCCTCCATGGCTCTCTACTCTTCTACTATTATCAATTATCATCTCGACGCCATCCAGGGACTGATGATGGATAATAACACTCATATGCTCAATCTACTCGACAACATAGAGAACAAGTTGTCTGCCTCTTCCAAGACGATCCCTGAAGCTCCCAAGCATATAGATATGGCTGTGTGTTTGGACGATAAGAGCGAATCAGAGGAGTTCTCAGGAGCAGAGATTGATTCTGATTTGGATAAAGGACGGTCCAGCCCTGCGAATAATTTTGAATTTCTTATTGAGATGGTGGAAACTGAAAGTGATGATGGGGAAAATTTAAAAGGCTATGACTACAAGGTATTCGCTGAAATACCCAACAAGAAAACTGACGTAAAAGTCGAAGATTCATTGAAGACTTATTTAGTAAAGCCTGAAACACAAGTGTTCGACGAAATGTTTCAAATAACTTCCCCAATTAAGTGGTATTTCCGCGACCATATCATGTTTGATAATCCACTAGCACTGCCTTGTATGCTTTCAGTTTGCGGTCACAATCTACTTATCAGCAGAGGTACATTTGATTACTTAAGTGACCTTGGTCATGTTATACTTATATTATCCTTGCATCGATGTCCACCTAATCAATTTGAATTATATGTTGACAACCAATTTTGGTCCTCCTTTTACTGATCTATTTCTCTATGCTTCCTAATTCTTAATAATTTACTAAATATATTTATCCAAAATATTTGTTATATTTTTCTAGCCTCAAGATGTTTAAAATAAAGTACAATTATTAGCCTTAATATAATCTAGCATATTAATTTATTGTTACTATATCGTTATTATTTTATTAACTTAATCACCATCATATTATGCTAATGCATCGTAGTAATTAATACAAATATTGTTTAGTTCTCTATATGCTATTCTATATAAATGCATACATACTAAATATTATTTTTATAACAATATAATATAATATATTTTATTATAAATTATTAGAATTATGGAAGCATAGTAAATTTTAAAGTGAAAAAGGAATTTTAAATCTAAATTGGATTATCTTGGTAAAGTCCAATATTATTTAAAATGGGGCCAATTCTTATAATTTATATTCTAGATTTTTTTCCCCAAAAAGAGGAAAAAATCAAGCCAAAATAGCCCAAATCGGAGGCCCATATCTATCGGCCCATCTACTCTATTCTACCTCTATGTAGGCGCCATATAAGATCCATGTCAGCAACACCTAGGCTCCCAATAACCAAAAACACACGCCTAACACACTCTTTCCTCATCTTTTCACACTTTTGACCCCACATTTTGCCATATGAATTCATCAATTAATGGTCAAGATCAATTTTCTTCTATCTTCGGGAGAATTCCTAAATAAATGCTAGCACTTATTTATTTTATTGTTTATTTTTAATTAAGTTCCATCCCTTTTCCCTCTCCCATGTCACTTTCAATCTCCGGCATCTTGACTTTTCCTTTATTTTTTGGTCAATTCTTGACTTTCAAATCCATGCGTGATAGAGCATATCCCACCATTTTCGGGTGTAACCTGAAGGATATCACTGAAGAATCACATGAAGATCGAATCCATCCAAAAAAGTTTCAACGTTAAAATTCAAACTGATCCATTTGATTTCTTTTGAAATCCGAACTTTTAAATTCCCGCTCAAAGGAACCAAGAACCTCAATTTTACATCTATAAATACTCCTAAAACTTTCAGCCAAATAATCTTTTGAATCCTGGAAAATAGCTCGAACACTGCCAAACCGAGTCAACAAGCAACTCTTTTTTTTTCCTGTAATCTCAGTGTCTATCTAGTTCGCTAACACCACTTTTCGATCTTGTTACGTGGAGGGAGTAGATTCGAAGCCTCACAAGCTCCAGTTCCTGCTCCATAAAAGGTTAGATCTTAACCTAAATTTTATTATGTTATCTGTTGTGCATATGTGTCATAGCCTTTAATTTTGGAAGTAGAATGTCCTTGTTTCTTTTCTATTTTATTTATTTTTCATATGTGAAGATCCTGAACATGGGAATTTGATTTTGGATTTCGTTAAAATATTGTATGTGCTCTGCTTTGTTAACTTAGAGTTTCCCTTTTCATATGCTGAAATTCGTTTTACTTGGAATCATATTTCTTTTAAAGGATTATGTTGAAACAAAATCTTGAATAATATGACATGTTAAATATTTTATTCTTTTTGTTGAGCTTGAACTTTGAAGCCTCACCAGGAAAATTGTTTCTTTTATGTTCTGTTGTAAATCTGTGTATAATCCGTGACAGATATCAGTAGTAAAAAGGAGAAATCATGTTCTTACACCTTTGACTAAATCTGAGCGTGAAAATCAGTCCGAAAAACCATGCTTAATGTGTCACTGACTTTAAATAATCTGTCGCTTGGTCCAAACAGATGTTATCTTAGTCTGTAAATCCGTTCGGACAATGTATTTAGGATATGTGTTTGTTCTAGCTGCATTACCTGTTAAGAAGTATGACTAATGATCTAAGAGCAGAAACCGTGACTTAGATCCTTTAGAATTAGGCAATCGTATTATGAGAAATTTTTGTTGCCAATATGCTTACGGTAAGCCTTCAGTATGTAAAGGTGTATTCATTGTTTGAAAAATCTCTTAATAAATGATAGTATCTTTGTTACTCTAAATGATTATGCAAAAGTCTCTCTTTGCTTACTTCACGTGGCTTATTTGCTTCTTATAGAAGTATACCTTATGATTTCTTCATAATAAACAATATGGAAATACTAGATATTTAGCTTTAAGTATATAATTACTGCTTAAGAATCTATTTATATCAATAAGTGTTGGGCTTCTTACATTCTGGTTGGACATTTAGAGACGTCTGCTTATGCTCATAAATCATGTGACTTCTTGCTTTGTTTATTCTGTGTTCATAAAATATAAGAATTGGATTTCCATTCTTTCTAACTTCCTATTTTCTTTTCTTCTCTATTTGCATGTACACTTTGGAGTAATTTTGAGTCTCAATACGAGACTCGTTGTAGCCATGAAGTCATCACCGCTTCATTGCCGTTACTATGTTTTCTCTTTCGTAGACCTATTTATTCGTGTTGGATAGAGACAAGAAAATACCAAAGTTAATTTTGGCCTCCCTAGAAAGGGGAAGGATTATCACTGTTATTCTGCTTCCATTTCTATTAACTGCTTTCTTATTACATATATTTTATTTACTATTATTCTTAATTAGTTCTTGCATGAACATGTAAGGGTAATGGATATAGTTAAACATCGAATTAGTAATTCTACTAACACCTAACTGTCTAGCAGTACTTATGAAATCAGTTAAATGGTAATAATTAAGTCAATATAGGTTGGTCTTAGTTTTAGTCCCATTGGAATTTTTTCCTTACCAAGCATTTTTCTTATCATACTAGATGTGATTGTCCTTTAAATCAATATAATGCTTTGCCTATCTATTAGATTTTTCTAACGAACAAGAAGAAAAATACTTTGGCTTTCTAAACTTTCTTAGTTTCAAGTTTCACCCTTTTGTGAAAATGACGTTTTTTTTTTTAAAGCCTCTACCCATTTTGGTTCAGTGTCCTTTTGGAGTTAAAATCTTTTAAACCAAATTTTGAGTTGTCGGATGAGTACAATATTTTGGTAAAATACTTTACTATTGTAGCCTAATGGTCTTACAAAGCTTTAGTTAGATTACACTAAGTCCGGAAGGGAATCGCGTCTTATGCGGATCTGGGGGTGCCTCACACCTTCCCCCTTAATTTAATTTGGACCTTTACCTTAGAATCTCTCATATTTAGTAGACTTTAACTTAGTTTAAATAGGTGTCCTAATTCACCTTTAAAATAATTAGGTGGCGACTCTTTAGTTAATAATTAATTTAGGAATCCCCAATATGTTATCCGATCCAATTTATCGTAATCGATTAGTTAACATGTTGGTTAACCGTATTCTGAAACACGGAAAAAAATCCTTTTTCCCAAAGAAGTGCCGCTCCGACCGCCCGACGAGTCATCTACTTAAAAGGACCCTCCCCGCAGTCCGCCCTTCCTTGAATTATTCGGTCATGCAATACTTATTGAATACAAAGAACAAAATTCATTTCGATCCCGTCGTAGTTCTCAATCATTTTGTGGCACCGGGCGTGGTTGAACTCATTGGCTTATCAAATTATCTATCGAGCCGTGAAAAAGATTCAACAAAATACATACTCTATTTGGCATGTGTTAAAATGGGGTATAACATTATACTTTCCATTTGATCCTGGTTCTAGTTTGTTTATTACATTCCTTGGAACTACAAGAAAGGATATATGTTGCGGTGCTTTGAGTAATTTGACCCATGCTAAGTTTATGACATTAACCATGTGTAATTTTTTCATTGCACCCTTGGGACTTCAGTTCAAGAGTACAAACAGAGTGTGCAAATATGTTCTCTTAGCACTCAGTCCAGTTAGTCTAGTGCGGCATATGTGGATGGGACGATCGAACGTGCCACTTGAAGAAATTGATCTAGAACATGTTTATACTTTTGAGCTTGAGACGGCTAGAGGATGGAAGGTCCTTAAGATTGTCCTTGTTGAGGGAGAGGATCATGGACTTGGTATGATCTTCTATAGGCCTATGGTGATTGCTGCAACAAATAGTGAGATGTTCATGCTTATGAGTAACATTACAGCACCTTTTAGGAAGCTCGATACCGCATCTAAAACTATGCACATGATTGAGGCTACCAACAAGGCCAAATGCACCAATACGATGAGCATGAGAAGTCTTGGAAGAAGGATGGTGGAGAAAATAATTACGGATAATTCTGAACCACATTCACCTTCTGATTTGGACTATATTGCCAATGATATTTTTAGAATCCGAAGCTCCTGTGGATTTTATATCCCAAGGACTAGTACTGGTAGGGTCAAGATGCCCTTTTCTGGTGAAAAAGTTTTTCTGAAACGTTATGGCTCGGGGGGCTTGCAAAACGGAATTAATATTTTCTTGTCTTGTGCGATGTCTAATATGTTTAGCATATGGGGTGCTTCGTTAATTTTTAACAAGATGCCAGGGAAAGTCCCACTACGGTGGAATATAGTTGTTGCTTTTACTCCTTATGTTTGTACTGAAAAGGCTGAATTATTGAAAATAATTTCCATGGCTGCAGTAATTTCTTAATCACTGGTTTATCAGGTTTTTCNTAATCACTGGTTTATTAGGTTTTTCCTATGCTTAAGTTTCTTGGGTTTCAGCTAGATGTTCAGCCCCATATGTCACTGTCCACTGTACATGGGGCTTTCTTATTACTTGTGGCTTGGTATAATGATGAGTTAGGATTTCACTTCAATCTTTCTACTGCTCGATTGCTGTCATCATTGGCTAGTTGGGCTCAACAGTCTTCAGGTGAAATTAACAGGGTGCTTAATGGTTGGCAAAGCTTTACAAGAAATGCAGAGAGTCAGAACACTTCATCTTCAAGCAGTAAAAACAGCAGTAGCCTTCTTTCCTCCTCAATGTTGCATTACTTGAACCTTGAGGAAGGTTCTTATCGAGGACGACAGTATTGTTATGAATCAGCCCTAATCAATATTGGGCTGAGAAGAGCTAGTGGGCCGAGAAGAAACCAAAGGGCCAGAAAGTCTTCAAAAAGGTTAATTTGTGGATCTAGGTCCACAAAGTACAATTATGAGCTGTTAAAAAGGACTAGATGCTAGCAAGGAAGGGTTATGCAAATTGTTATATGGAAAACTCCCCTCTCGTGGTCTCTCTCTTCCTGGTCTATTTCTCTCTGTGTGGCTCTGTATCCTCATCTCCTTTCTTTCTATTGCTATTTCCTTAGTTGATGACTATATCCTTTGCATTTCTATTGTAATCAGTTTATTTGGAAGTTAAATCAAGGTATCGTTTTTGTTGAGTTCATGACAGACACTCATTGTTCCAAAACCAAAGAGCAAGCACCAACTTCTGAAAGCAACATTCTATAGACAAACAAGGAAGGAAACACCATGAATCGTGTTTTAAATTGGTCGACAAATCCTTACTCTAAATCTAACCACAATTCAAGGAATATAACATTCATAATACATCTCAAAAATTAATCTAGGAAAAATGAGTATCAAGTTGTGAAATCCACAAACTATAAATAAAACTGCTGTTGACCATAAGTACTTGCTCATTATGATTGTCTCTAGTTTGACAGATTCAGTGATGTAGTTAAAGTTATGTCCAATTAAAACTAATCCTAACAGGAAACAGTGAACACAAACAAAGATTGAAAATTTCAAATGTTTTTACACATCAAGACCTTTAGATCCTAGCCTGAAAATTATCCTATATAATTGACCTCCACATATCGTATTAACTCTTTGGACATGTTGATTATTTTCATATGGTATACAGTGGCGGACCAAGTGGTGGCCAGCGGGTTCAACTGATCTCGCTTCATCAAAAAATAATATGGTGTATATGTACAAATTTTGTATAAATATTTTATTTGAACTCACTTCACAACTACTATATGTATAAATTTTGTATAAATATTTTATTTGAACTCACTTCACAACTACTATTTTACAACTAAAGTTATGTATTTCTAAAACTGAACCCGCTTGCACAAAATACTAGATACGCCACTGATGGTATGCATGCACTTCTACAGAAAACTTACTTTTACAGCCCAAAATCAAGAAATGATCTTTACTATGTGCAAACAATAACATATCAGTTGAGGAAAACATCACATTCTGCATAGACCAGATTGCAGTACCAATAAACACAATTCATAATTTTAGACACAAAAGACCAGGCAACAAAGACAGCCAAACATAAAAGCAAAAAAGAAAACTGGATTGTTTCTTGTAATAATAATACTTTCCTTCACTTTAGCAAGATCCTTAAACATTAATCCAACTTACATAACAAAAGGGAAAATGCTAATCCTGTACTCGGAATATTTCACTCACTGCGACAAATAATCAAACACCTTCAAGGCGATCCACGCTTCGACAATCTAGGCGAAGTTCTCGTCATACTTGCTGGTGTCACTAACCCACTCTTCTTCTCAACACTCTTCAAACCCTTCTTCAATCTCTTACCCTTAACCTTTCCCTTATTTACTACCTCAACCACAGCCTCTCTATTTCTCTCACTCCTCTTTCTCCCCTTAACAACCCCACCATTCGTCGCAGCAACCCTATCAAAATCAGCATCCAATTTCCTAGCTGGGCCCTTTTTTTCCACTCTCCTCACAATTTCCTCTTCATTTTCATCCTCAGATTCATCGATCAATCTCATTTTCCGTTTCAGATTCAACGGAGCAGGGGGAGGAGATGGACTAACTGATCTAGGTGATGATAAACAAACGTTTACGGGCGATTTCTTTTGGGCTATTTTCTCAAACTTTGTACGCTCAGCTTTGAGTTTTTTAATGTTACCTTCGATCCGGCCTTGAAGACGGAGGCGTTTAAAGCTGAGACCGCCCATTGACCAGTGAGCTTCTTCTGCCCATGACATTAATGGATCCAAAACGGATACCGGTGGATCGACCCGTTGTTCGCCATTCGGGTTGGAGTAAAACCGTGGTCTAGGTAGGCTACTGCCGTAGAATTTTCCGGGACCTAGGGCTACAACCATGGCGGCGCTGCTAATACTGAATGAAAACTATAAAAGATTTAATTTATAAAATGTTAAAATAAAAACTTTGATAATTGATGCAATTTGATGTATTATGCGGGAGTTATAAATAGTGGTTATTGTGCATTAAAATGGAGGGGAAAACTGTAAGGCGGGAAGATTGGCGCCAATAAGAAGTTTACCGCCAATTTGATCCACGTGTTCACCCGAAGTAAATTCAAAGGAGTTTTACTTTTGGCGGGGAACCCTCTAGGTTGGAGAGAGTAGAAAAATAAATTTAACTTATAATTCCTTTAATGAAATTATATAACAATGTTTATTTCATCGCGTAAGAAACAAATTACAAGTGATATGGAGGGAATATTATTCATAGCATAACTAGTTATACATTTTACGTTGCACAAACACTTGCTAGTTTGTAAACCAATCAGAGGCGGATCTATGATTTAATGTTTATAGGTTCTTGTATTGACTTCGAGTAAATTTTCAATAGTAACTGGGTTCACATTTAAATATTTATAGATATTTAATGAATTTTTAGAACACATTTACACTGTTTGGACAAAAGCTATTGGGTTCACGAGACCCCGTAGATGACATGTTAGGTCCGCCCCTGAAACCAATCAATACTTATACATGGGCGGAGTTAGAATTTTACTTGCGGGTTCGGACGAATTCAGTCACTTGCTTATACCATATATTTATTATATTAGTTTTTTTAAATATGTATAAATATTTAATTGCGAATCTAGCAAGTAAGACTGAGTTAGGAGTTCGGTGGTAGTTAATAACTCAACAACAATAATAACTACGCTTTAGTCCTAAATAAATTGGGGTTGATCATATGGATTATCATTCCTTTCATGGGCCAGTGAGCCCGTCTGTATCATGGGCCATCCTGAGAATCCAACTATCCAAATTAGGAGAAATATTCAAAAATAGCCAGAGTTATAAGGGGTCATTCAAAAATAGTCATATTTTTAAAAATAATCGAAATTTAGCCATTTTTATGTAAAGATAAATTTGAAAGAAAATATTATTCAAAATCTGGAAAAATACTCCAGTATAATATACTGGAGTTCCAACATAATATACTGGAGATTGGAGCACCAGTGCTCTAATCTCCAGTATATTATACTAGAGCTTTCCGCGTGTTGGAGTTCCGGTATAATATGCTGGAAGTTCATACACAGATGCACCGATATCCAGTATATTATACTGAAACTTTCCGTGTTGCAGCAAAATAGTGGTTATTTTTCAATGACTTTGCAAATGCTGACTATTTTTGAATGACCAGTCCGAAAACTGACTAGCCCGTGCTATTTTTCCCAACTAATTTGGTTAATAATATTTATCTCAGCACGACGAAATGAAATAGCAATAACTTATTTGTAAGGTTTACTAGTTTGAAAGTTAGTAGTGCTTGTACAACTTTTTTTATTCATGTGTAATTTCTTTCTGCTTTGTTGCAACAAGATATGATATTACCGAATAATAAATCTTGGCTTCCTCGTTTAAGCACTTTTTTTATAATTAATAAAATCCGACTACAAACAATATTAGTACACAAATGATGTACTAAGTAGAAGTATTTAACAAAACAAGTAGAAAAACTAGTATAAAGGACATCTTTGCATTTCGTATCAGTTAGTACATGTTTTATCCCATATAAATTAGGAATAAAATTCTACAAAAATTACCGCATAACAAATTTCGTATATCTTCAATACAAAAATAAAACGAAATTTTCTTATATATATACTATAATAGAAACCTATTTACCTATTTTCTTTAGGTTTTATAGTTTTTAATAACTATTTAGATTTGTCTTACAAATTGTATATATTACCCCTTAAAAGGTTCGCATCCCATTATTAGTGTCACGACCCAAAAACCACTAGTCGTGATGGCACCTAACTCGATCTGCTAGGTATGCGAACTAACAGAAAATACAATCCAGAAGAGATTATAGGAAAATAGTAAAGAATTAGCTGAACATTTACAAATTGACCCAAGAACTAGTAGTACGACTCATGAGCTTCTAAGACTTGAATTTACAAAGCTGGTACAAATAATTATACGATCTGTTTGAAATTTACATAAATAGATTACCAAAACCTAAGCTACCAAGAACAATTGACAGTTATATCCGGAATGCACGAGCATCTTCAGAGTCAGCACCTGACATCACCAGTAGCTCCGCTCTAAAAATCTATACGCAATATACATAAGTGTAGTATCACTACAACCGACCCCATGTACTTGTAAGTATTTTATCTAACCTCGTCAAAGTAGTAACGAGGCTTTTTTTGTTAAAAGATACTTTCTGATAAAACCTGCAACATAAAGCAACAATAGAACTATACTACGATATAATAAAGATGAATACATGAAACGGATACGCAAAACAATAACCAAGTGTTAACAGAGATCACAATCTGACATCTTCAAATACCTCGACCAATCCTTTTCTTAGAATGAAACCAATAAACCACAATTGTCAATTCTTAACTTTCCTAGCATGAGGAATGTACTCAGATATCAAGTCAATTGCACGACAACACTCTTTGTGTTTTTATCTCATCCTCACCCAATTTACGTATAACAGAATCAACCAGATGACAAAAATACCGATAATAAGAATTACAAAGTAGGAAATACACAAGCAGCTATAATGAACGAGGATATACATGTGGGCAACAGTAAAAGACTAGGCGGAAAGCATGTGAGTGATGACAGCAATTGGAAACAAGGAATATCAACTTCAACTAACTAGCATGATGGAGACCTAAGTACAGATATAACAAATAAGAAGGAAGCATATGATCTTTACAAGTTAACAAGTAAAAGCATGAATGACTACCATGGTGGAAGGCTTATACCAAGTGCAATAGAATAGATACGACATGAGTATAATTATAAAAACAGAAAAATATGCATGATATTTGCAAGTTAAACAAGCAGAATATATGAGCAACACAACAACAATTGATATAGAGATAAATGATAGAACGATAGCAACAAATCACATCAAATCTGAGATTGCGACAATAACAGTTTAAGGTAAAGACATAAATATATACATGGAAAAACAGATATCACAACATAATGCATGTCCCTCATCCTCGCCTGCACGGAAACACCCATCATGACATGACCTCGCGATGATATAAAAGCATAACAATATAGATAAAATGGCACGACATCAACCTTCCTGCTTTACACTCTCATAACATGGCACGACATCACCCTTCGTGCTTTACACTCACATAACATGGCACGACATCACCCTTCGTATTTTTACTCTCAATAATATGGCAAGGCATCACCCTTCGTGATTTACACTCTCTCACACATAATAATGTACAAATGGCATGACATCACCCTTCGTGCTTTACACTCTTCCTTACCAAGCAGATGCATCAATGACAAACAAAGTAGAAAGCATAAATAACATCAAAGGGAGTGTTTTTAATGGATATTCCAAACAAATTCCAATCACAACTTTTCAAGCCAACAATGGTTAAATAAACCCTCAAGAATTGTATTATTCAAATACTTCCACAAATCTCACAAATGATCCACAACACAAGTATAAAATCTAGTATCTCAAGAAGATCGGTTGTGGCAATGTATTTGTCACACCTCTTTTTTCCTGAGGGGATAGAGGGTTTTTCCAATTAAAGTGACGTTAATCAAAATGGGATTATTTATTGAATTCAAAGTCGCCACTTGGGATAATTATATGGTGTCCCAAGTCATCGGTTTATTTTAAATCCCAAATCGAGGAAGTTTTGACTCTATTTTACAGTCCGCGAAACATAGAAATTCGGGTAAGAAATTCTGTTAACCCCGGAGAAGGTATTAGGCATTCACGGGTTTCGTGGTTTTAGCACGGTCGCTCAACTATTAATAATTGGTCTAATTATCTGATTTATTACATATTTAAAACCTATTGTGCATGTTTAACCTTTTAAATGCTTTTAATTATTTATGAAATTTGTTTGAACAAGTCGCGATGTCGCGCACTCATTTATTTTTGTACACATTGCGAATTGCGTCACGGGAACCGTACCCACGATCTACAACATGTTTATTTTATTATTGTTCGAAGTTATGATCGGGTCACATAAAATGAACGCCCGAATTTGGATTTACGTATCACTACTATGCCACGAGAACCGTACCTATAGTCGCGAGGATTTATTATTAATCGCGCCTAAGGTAAGATACGATGTTCATTAACTATTTTTCTAAAACTAACTTGAGATTATTGTAAGGCTATTGCATTATGGAATAACATTATGGAAAGATATGTAGAGTTTCATTAATATTCGACCCATTAGTATTCTGAAAAAAATCTAATTTTTTATCCCCATCTATTCCAAATTAAGGGTAGCCCATTTTTTATTAAGTTACCATATCCCAAAGCTCTATCAACCAACTTTCTCAATAACATATGGCCCAACCGGCAAGGCTCGCATAACTTTGCAATATCAAAAAAGCCAGAATCGAAAATTCCTAAACTACTATATGTGAGCACGTGATTTTTGCCCTACAAGAACTACTCCCAAAAATTCAAAAATAAAATGGTTTTGTGTTGTTTGTGATTTATTTGTATTTTTGTTTGTGCATGTTTATTTCTACTTTAATTAAGAAAATACAAAAAATATGTGTTGCATGTGCGTTTAGGATTTAATTTTACAATTTAGGAATTAATTAAACAATCGAGTTTGTTTTACAAAATAGAAAAATCACAAAAATATGTACTTTGCATTTTTAACATTTAATGTCCAAAATTATGTGATTTTATCTTTATTGGTGTTTAATTTCGTGTGATAATTATCATTAAGAGCTGATATTTTAAGTTAATTGTCGATTTTATAATTTAATTTAGGATTTTTAGGTTTTTAATTTTGAAAAATTAATTAAAAAAAAGTTAAAAGAAAAGGAAAAAATGAAAAATCCAAGGAAATCAGAACTGGGCCGTTTGATTTTGACCAAAATCAGGCCCAAACCCTCACACACTTCACACACCCAATCCAGGCCCAAACCGGCCGGTCCCAGATATATCCAAACGATGTCGTATCTGGC